AAATAGAGGAAGAGATGGAAACCATTTCTGCCTTGTTTATTCTTTGTACAAACAACATATCTTTGTGTGGTTAGTCAGAGACCCGCACTCTTTACTAATCAACGCCAAAATAAATAGGCCCTTAAAACTGTCAGTGGTACGGGCCAGTTGTGAAGCCCGGGCACGGAGGGGCCAAGCCAGATGGCCAGGCCAGGCTCCTAAGACACAATGTGTGTTCTGTAGCTCTTGGCTGCAGCAGCCTGGGCAGCTGAGTGTTTGTCAGAAAGCTTCATGGGGGAGGGAACAGATTTTCCACTCTCCATTTGTTCTGTGGGCATCTCTAGAAATAAACTGTAGGACAGTACAAGGGTTTTCTGACCAGGACTGAAACCTACTGGAGCCTGGCAAAAACACAGGCTGGGAGTTCTGAACCCTTGGCTGGCCACTGTCACATCCTGTGACTGTTCTGTTCCGGATCTTCAGACTCCCTGCCTGGTGTGTAAGGTACAGGGGCAGGTCTGTTCACTTTTCTGAATTTGCCAGTGCCATAGCAGTGCTATTTCACAAACATGGGTTAATGTTGCATGGAGGTTGTGTGTTCAACTTGTATAGGGCTGGTAGACCAATGGAACTTCCCTCCTGCTCCACCACGTTATCCCACCACTGTTGAGGGTGGGAGAGAAATGGCGTCCACTACCAAGTATGATACTGTGGTTCATTGAGCCGCTGGTAGAGCCTCTCAGAGTGGCTGGAGTGTGGTGTCCTGAGCTCCTGAGATACTGTCTTAGTCAGGATTTCTATCACTGTGGTGAGACATCATGACCAAAAAGCAAGTTGGGGGGGGTGTTTATTTGCTTACACGTCCACATCATAGTCCATCATTGAACGGAGTCAGGACAGGAATTCAAACAGGACAGGAACCTGGAAGCAGGGGCTGATGTAGAGGTCATGGAGGGGCACCGCTTGCTGGCTTGCTCATCATGGCTTGCTCAGCCTGTTTTCTTATAGAACCCAGGACCACCAGCCCAGAGTTGGTACCACTCACAGTGGGCTGGGCCCTTCCTCTATCAATCACTAATTAAGAAAATGCCTAAAAGGCTTGTCTACAGCCTCACTTATGAAGGCATTTTCTCAGTTGAGGTTCCCTCTTCTTATCTTACTTTAGCTTGTGCCAAGTTGACATAAAATTAGCCAGCAAAGACACAGTTAATCAGTATGTTGCATGGGCCTGCGGGAGGGGAATAGAAGAGTTCTGACCTCAGAGCCATCGTCTTCCCCATCGCAGGAGGAGGTGGCTGGATTTGGTTTTCTTTTTCTCTTTTAAACTAATGAGACTGTATTGCCACCGTCTTCTAGGTCTTTGAAAGAAAGACTAAAGATTTCTCAGTCACTTATCTCATTGGAAGCAAGACTATCCCTGAGGTTTGAAGACCTTTGCCATCAGAGGAGCAAATCCTCAATGGTTAACTTCGGAGGGGGTTGTTTTTGCAAGAGGATGTGTTTTGGTGAAGAATAGATGACCACACAAGCCAGATTGAGTGGTAGCCCCAGTGGACTTTCATAGTCCACAGCTCGGCCTTTTCTATTTACACCTCCTCTCTGGGTATTGACTGTGAGTTTTGGATGCACTTATAGGTTTTCTTGTGATTAGATAGCTGCCCTTCCTTCTTTGACTCGCATGTGTACCCCATGACAGCCCACCCCACACACTATGGGGTGACCCCAGAGTTCTGTGCTGGAGAGGAACAAGCTTGACACTTGCCTGTTTACTGGGTCTCAACACATTATAGCTTCCTGGCTTCAAACAGTGTTTGAACAGACCAAAACCACGTTTTTGGCTGCCATCCAGAGTTTGGCTTCTGCTTCCCAATAAATGTCATAAAAACGTTCTGTCAAATAAATTCTCAGGAACTAAAAAGAACAAGTCCCCTGCTTTGTATGATCGGAGAGAACGGAGACAGGTTTCAGCTGACCCCCTGGCTTGCTGCCCGTGGCACAGGAAAACCAAATTGCACAGTATCTCTTGGCAGTGCTTTCTAGTGATCGAAGATAATTCTCTGCACGTGACAGATGAGCTCCCCACATGAGCTTTGCGTGTTTATAGCCACTGGTGCCTTTGGGTTCCATGAAATATTACTTTTATGTCCTGCTCAGTTATATATTAGTATATGTTATAAGTGTTTGAGCCTTACCTCAGTTTTCTGTTTAGTAAGCTTGTAGTGCTATCAATGGAAGGAATTCTTCTTTGCGTGTATGAACATGCTTCTATGCATGTGCCTGTGTGTCTGTGCATGTGTGTGTCTGTGAATGCAGAGGGACAACTACCTGTCCCTAGAAGTGATAAAAAATCTCCAGTATTGAGGGGTATGTTGGAAAGAAATGGCATTTTCAAATTAGAGTGTGTTAGGAACGATTTATTTGCAAAAGTGACTGTATTTTAGAAGATATGAAGGTGAGTGGGGCAGAAAGCATAACAGAGAACAGCCAAGCTCTTACCACCCCTGGACCAGCAGGGAGGGAAGGAAGGGATGAGAGGACCTAGAAGGGAGAGGCATATGGGGATGCAACCTTCAGAGTGGCCTTCAGCACAGACACATAGGTGGCCAGGCTGAAGCAACTCAACCCCAGGGCCACTCACTCTCTTCCAGTCTCTCTTCTGTCTAGTGAGTGATTCCCCATTGACTGAGCTCAATTCATGCCACAGTTAGAAGGTCAACAGGGCTTTTGTTTTGGCTTCTAGAGACTGAACATGAACTGGTAGGAAGGCCCCTAGAAGACCTCTGGAACATTCCCACTTTGTGTGTGTCCAGTTAATGCTGAGAGAGGAATCTCTACAGAAACAGACTTTTATTTTAAACAGCTTTATTGACATGACTAACATGTAATAAACTGCACAGACTTTAAGCATGGAACTTGGTCCACTTTGATGTTTAAACCTACCCATGATAGTGAGTTTATCATACTTGAACATTTAAGGCAGTCCACGGGGTTCTTCTGGCCTCTGCAGTCATTGCGCCATGGGTTACCCCTCCCCATGTAGATATGATTCAAAAATAATGAAAATTAAACAAAACTGAATCAAATGCCAGTCTGTGGATCTATATGGTTTGAGTAGTCAGCAATTTAAGCTTGAGAAAACCAGTGCTAACTGTGTATTTATTTAGTCCCAGTGGAGCTGTAGATTTGACGCTCCTGTGTGCACTGTATTTGGTAGTCACATGCAAAAGGCATGCCAGGAGGTGGCTCAAGAAGGTGAAAGATCTTTGAGGAAGCAGAGCCTCAGGAGGTGTGATGGTTAAGCTTGGTGGCTGGCTTGAGACTGGAGAAGAGAGAACCTCAGTCAACTAATTGCCTGCATTGGCCTATGGATGTGTCTGTAGGAGCATTTTCTTGATTGCTAACGGACATAGCATTGGCCATCCTACTGCAGGCAGTGCCCTCCTTAGGGAAGGCAGTCCTAGATTCTTTAAGAAAGGTAGCTGAACAAGCCTGAGAAAGCAGCCAGTCAGTGGTGTTCATCTGTGGCCTCTGCTTCAGTTCCCACCTCCAAGTTCTGCCTCAGCAACACTCTGTGACAGACTACAGTCTGTGAGCAAAATAAACTCTTTTCCCACATGTTGGTTTGGTCCATGTTTGATCACATCATCAGAGAAGGACACTAGCACAGGAGGGGCATTATGTCATCGATAGCTGCTCACAACTGTCACTGTGCGCATTGTTGAATATTTAAAATGTATTTGCCATTTGATATCAGTTCACTAACCCAGGGCAAACCAGAGGAAGTCAATACAGATAAAGATAACCTTACAAAGATCAAGATGAAGTAACGCAAGGAAGCCGCTGCCTTACGTCTAACCACTGCCTTACGTCTAACCGTCATAAAGCTCTTAAGTGAGAGAGCCACAACGCAGTGGGATTCCTGCATTTATTATGCAGCGCATTGAAGGAATTATTAACAACAAGTAGCTTGACATCCACTCTCAGTGGAGCAGGTGCTGGAGTCCTGCCTGGGTTGAGAACTGCCACCCACAGCCTTCACTGTCCTCAGAGTCCTGTGAATCCAAGGTAGTGAGCAGTTCTTAACCTGTGGGTGGTGACCCCCTTGGGACTCAAATGACCCTTCCACAGGGGTTGCATATCAGATATCCTGCATACCATATATTTACATTATGTTTCATAACAGTAGGAAAATGACAGGAAGTAGCAAGAGAAAGACTTTTATGGTCGTGGTCACTACAACATGAACTGTATTAAGGGGTTGCAGTATAAGGATGGTACAACCAGTGACCTAAGGAGATCAGAATCTCCTATTGCAGGGGGAGGAAGATTGCTTCATAAAACGGGTATGGTAGCATCTTAAAGTTTAGCGTACTTTCAATTTGTGGAGGGATTTATTAGGAGTCTATTCCCATTACAATTCAAGGAACTTGTAAAATTATAGAAATTACATTTTGCTATTCTAAAACTCAACAAGCCTTTGACTCCTAATGCCAGGCACTATGTGGACCCTGTGAAATGCTTTGGTGAACCACTCCCGAGCATCCGTCAGTGGAAGGCTTTGTAGAAAAGGTCAGTGTCCTTTCAGATGATGGTTTCTGTAACGTTCAGAAAGAAACACGAACCATCAGTTTCATCACACTGTTAAGTAAGTCTTTCCAAAAAACTACCTAGTCCTCAAAGAAGAGAGATGTTCCTTCTAATCAGGTTTCAACTTCTTAACATGCAGTGGGTTTGGAACCTTTCCCTTGATAGATTAAATTACTGTTTCCTGATATAGTGCTTTGATAAATATTTGCTGAAAATATTGGTTTATTGAAATGGTTTTATTCATACATTCAAATCCTATTTGTGTCATTCCCTTATTGTGTCACTGAGGAATCTGCCTTTCAGAATCTGCCTTTCAGAATACACCTGAGCATCCAGACCCACAGATATGTCCTGTGACTTAGGCATCTGCTGTATCTACTCCTTTGTGGTGTTTCTCGGGCATTAATCCCCAGTTTTGTGTTTATCTCTTTAAGATCCATTTGGGCTTACAACATTACCTCATCATGACCTGTCAGCCCAGCTGTGTTCCCCTAGATGAAAAACTCCTGCCCCAGCTTTTAAAGGAAGCAGGCTATGCTACGCATATGGTCGGAAAATGGCACCTGGGAATGTACCGGAAAGAATGTCTGCCAACCCGCCGAGGATTTGATACCTACTTCGGTAATGGAAATGTACACGTTTAACAACACAGACCTACTGCAGCCAGCTCATAAAACACACCCAAGTATCATCAAACAAAATGACCGGAAACCTGAACACAGTAAATCAGGCAGCACATGAGTGGGGCTGCTTTGTGCAGTTATCCCCATAAGCCAGCTCTGTGCTGAGCGCGGGATGGGCATGCCCCCACAGCAAGACAGGGGCCTTAGCCAGAGCACTTAGGAAGAGTGTTAGGGACTTTCTTCTAAGGAAGAGTGGTCAGAGACTACTGTGCAGTCTAGAATCTTCTTACCTGAAGATGATGGGCAGAGTTGTATGGAGTTAGAGTCAGACTTTGTGTTTAAGAATGTTTCCTTCATTGAAGTTCACATATGTTCCCCTGAGGGACTGTGTTCTCCTGTAGGAGAATAATAACTCACCTTGCCTGGGCTTCTTCTCCCACATGTGAGATCTGTTTCTGAAATTACTAGGTTGGGAGAAGATCGACTTAAAAAATTAATAACAATAAAAAGGAGATAATAAAAAATGGTACAAGAACTAATCAGTAACTAGAAACCAGACAGCCCTCTGAAATAAATGCAAAACCTGTAGTTTGTTTTAACGCATGACATCTTAAGCCTGTTGTAAACTCTGCTTTAATTAATAACCTGCTTGCCGCTAACTGTATGTTTCTGTCAGGGTCTTTTTCTATTGAGCTGTCCTTCTGCCCAGCTGGTTAGTAACCTCCCTCCTTCCATCTGCTTCTTCCAGACTGAATGCATACTTAACATAAAGCATCTAAATAGAATCACAAAATTGGAGTGACCAGTAAGACCTGTTATAATTTAAATGCTCCAAACTGCAAAATGATGACTAAAAAGGAAATAGGTGCATAAACAGGGAGGAGCTCTCCACATCTAATATGGGAGACTTTTTAGGGAGGAGGGAGGGAAGAGGGCGGCTGGGCAGAAGGACAGCTCAATAGAAAAAGACCCTGACAGAAACAT